CAGTTCTTAATTTTTCCTGCCTATGGCACTGCAGGAGAACATCCTCAGAGCACATTTCAGTGGGATACTCAAAGAAGAGCCTCCTGCAACGCCCTGACTCAGAGCACATCTCAAAATGACTCCAGGAGCAGCCCAGATCCAAAAGTCAGAGGTCACATTTCTGGAAGTGTTACTGGGCAGGCTGAGGGCAGTCAGGGGACTGAGGGCACTGAGGGGACTGAGGACACTGAGGGCACTGAGGGCACTGAGGGGCACTGAGGGCACTGAGGGCACTGAGGGGACTGAGGGGACTGAGGGGACTGAGGGCACTGAGGGCACTGAGGGGCACTGAGGATACTGAGGGGCATGAGGGCACTGAGGGGACTGAGGGGACTGAGGGCACTGAGGGCACTGAGGACGCTTGACTCTCCTTGTTTTCAACACCTGCTTTTCAAGTTCCAGCCTCCTCAAGGACCTGGCACAAACTTACGAGGAATTAGCAGGTTGTAGGGAAAGTTCCCTACGAGATGATCCCGCAGCAGGAGGGTCTGACCCCCCAAACCCCTCCTGCCTCACTGTTCCCTGGCCCCTTGCACTGGGTTCAGATGGGAAATTATGCTTTTCCCACCAAATAACCTCACTATTTTTAACACTGTTGCAGAGTTACCAGGAAAACAAAGAAGCTGTTCAGTGATGAACCAACATTATCATCTGCTCCACAGAATTTCTGCTGCTGTCCCAGACTGGTGGAACACAAGGAGCCCAATCCCACTTGGAAACTATTTTCAAGGTCTGAGACTGATAGTGGAAAAAAAAAAACCAAAAAAAAACCAAAAAAAACCAAAATAAAAATCACATTTTTACCTGAAAACTCAGCAATCATGGTGTGAAATAATCTGTCTGGAGTGAATTTACTGCTCCTCAGGCTTTGTTCCTTCCCTGTGGTTGGGGGTGCCTGTGAGTGCCTGCTCCCCGTTGTAGCAGCTGTGTAACCTCCTCCAGCCTGGGGAACTGGGCAGAGCTCTGAGGAGCCCTGGCACCTCTGTGGGCACAGTCCAGCTCGGGCCAGTCCCAGCCTGGGACACCTGAGAGTATCAAGGTGCTCGGAACAGGTTGAAGAAGCTGGTTTTAAATCAGAGGGATGTGATAACTCCTATCTGCTGTGCTCCTGTTTGTGCCACTGGAGTGTTGAACTCTCAGCAACTCCCACAGCACTTGGAGCAGCTGGAGCTGCTCCTACACAAATAGGGCAAGTGGGATCCATCCCCTGAGGGCTAAAAGACCCCCACAGCTCCCTCTTGCTAGAGGGGGGAAGAGATGTCTTGTGCCATCCAGTGAATGCTCCTTTAGAGGTGCTTTTGTCTCCCAGGTGTGGTAGAACCACATGGAACTGAAGGTTCTACCTCAGAATAAAACATCCAACCTCTACCTGACGTGATGTGAGATTAACCCTGCCATGTGCCTCACCATGGGCACCTTTATGGCCTGAAGAGTTTGGATTCATCCCTAGATCACCACGACACACTGACAGCAAAGTCTTTCCCCACGGTGTGAAGAACACCCCCTGTAATGACTTTACAGCCTTTAAATGCCAGGCAGTGATGCATTGCCCACTGACATGTCAGAGAGGAACCATAAATCACAATCTTGCAGGAGCCTGTGGATGTCAGACATGTGGATGTGCTGATTTGGTCTCCATGGTACTTTGGCATGTCTCACATCTTTGTCTTCTGCCCAAAATAGATTAGCTCTTAAATATTACTCAGCACTTGGAGTTCTGCCACAGCACAGAAGACAGTTGAGAAAACACCAAAAATGTGTCTCCCAGTGCAAAGAAATATTGAGATAAACTTCACTGGCTTTGTTCAGTCTAAAAGTAGAACCCTTTGGTGTAACAAGAAGGCAGGGTGGGGTTATTTGGCTCATGGCAGCTGAAGTGGAGATTTTAACACATGTACTGGAACTGAAATAAGACAAAACCTGAGCATGAAGCTGCTCAGCTAAAGCTCAGGACTAACCCTTGCTGTAGCACTCATCTCTCCTGTCCAGGTACTGGGCTGTTCGTTCAAACTGAACACAGGAAATCTTTCAATATTTCCAGAAATAATCAAATTATATCAGGCACAATCATAACAATAGAGCCCCTCGGTTACTTGCTCCCCCCAAAGTCCTGCTTTCACAGCACAAACACACAAATCATGCCACAGACAAAGACAAACCTACACATTTGCACAAGCAAACCAGGCAGTTTGCCTGCAGTACGTGTGGAGATGTTCAGCACTTGCACCACTCATGAGTGGGAGTGTGAATCTGCCATTAAAAAAATTAGAAATTAACATTATAATACTGTTTAAATAAAATGTGGTTTTATAGGTAGCTGAAAAGTAAATTCTAAGGCCATTCCTTTCTGGTTTGTCCATAAACAGCCAAGGTAGAATTTGATTTCTTCGGAAAACAGACTTTGGAAAGCCTTCCCCCTTAACCCCCCTGGCTAGGGGCTGTTGTGGTGGATGGACAGTCTGGACTCCCCCTGCCCACTCTTCCACCTTCCCAGGGATGGGAAATGTGCTCTGTGGGGCTTCCAGGTGTGAAAACCACGAGCCCATCCACAGGAGAGCAGAGCCCCCGAGAGCTTTCAGTCCAGAGGGAAAGCAGGTTTTGTTCTGATGTGGGAAGGAACCAGGGAAACCACATTGCCCAGAAAACTGCTGGGAGATAATCCCGATGTCTGGGACAAAGAGGCAGGAACGTGGCCCTGCTGGGGGTTATCCTTGTGCTTGGGAAAGGTTATCAGGACACTCCACCCTGTGGCCCATCTCTCCTGGGGTTCTCTTGCTGTCTCACCCTAAAGACCCTCCTGATGTGACATGACATGACTGTAAAACTCCTCTTGGGTGGGCTGGAGAAAGGGAGACCTTGTGTAAATGTCCTTCCTCGAACCATTGCAGTTCCCAGCCCAGCTGGGGTTTGGAGGTGGTTCCTCTGCTCCCCTTCCCCCCGAGCAGAGCCAGGCTGGAATTGCAGGGTATTGGATTACAAGTCCCACGGGTTCTGCCTCAGCCTCAGTAAACTTTATTTAAGCACACACAGACATACACAGACAATATACATAGATTTGTTTCTTCTCTGACAGTGCTACAGGACCAACACTACTGCGGATGACACTCGTGGAGAGCTGGAAAAAGTGCAGGAAATGTAAAAACCAAGGTCTTTTAATAATTTGTGAGTCATGTCATCCACAGGAACAACACAGGAGCGTTCAACCAGGTGAGCACGAGGACACATCTCCACATACAGTACATTGGTCTATAGAGGAATCTCCACATACATTGTGTCTACAGGGAGGTACAACAGTCTCGAGGTCAGGAGGACACAAAACCAGACAGGGACTGGCACATGCACCCCCAGTGGCACAGCCCAGTGGCACTGCCAGGGTGGCTGGGGCAGGGGAGGGGGGACAGAAAGATGCTCCAAACACAGTCTCACTGTACACTCCAAAAACTCACCAAAATAGGCAACAAGGTCATCAAATGAACATTCATTGGGGGTTCTGGTGCCCAGCTGGGTCAGAGCTCACAGCTTTGGTGTCACCAGGACTCCTGGGATAGGTGGTTACTTGTCTTATAGAGCTCCAGCTGGCTCTCAACATGTATTTTATATACAGTACATATACACAGAACATACACAGAGCAGTATATGTATACTTTTGTGTTTTCCTGTTTGTACATTATATCACAGGTTATAGGAACACATAAAATATATGTTTCAGGAGCTAAAAAGGAAAGAATTTTATAAAATATTCATCATACACCCCTCACCCCCCCAGAAAAAAAAAATAAAATAAAAGCCCAGAAGTCAAACAAAAGAACTCCAGAGAGACACTCTGGAAGTGGTCACTGCCTGCCCTGGGCCAGCTGTACATCCCTTCCCTTCCTCTGGGAGGACAGGAACGAGGGGGGTTTGCAACCATGCACCCAGGAAAACACAAAGCTGTATAAACAGTCCAACTGCACAGGCAGAGTCCGGAATCTGGAATCTGGAATCTGGAATTTGTCTGACTCTACACTCCCCCACCACCTCCCCTGCAAGGATTTCAAAGGTTCTGCCCGAGCACAGTATTTTACCTGCAGCAATATTTCCTGGACTAAACCCACTGCCTGCAGTCCAACACTGTTCTCTCAGGGCACTTAGAACCCACTGCTGAGTTAGAGCTTTTTATTTAAAACAATCTTTTGATTTAGCAAAAAATGGTTTCCACTGTACCCTTCGTGTGTCCTCTTCCTAATGTGACAAACCCGGAGGAGATGAAATTATGGAGATCTGGGCCTCCACTTCGGTAAATATCTTTTCCATAGTGACCTGTCAGGGAAAAGAAAACAAAATCACCTTTATTCAGTGTGCCTGTGTGGATATATATATCTGTATATGTGCTATACAGCCCTGCTGTCACCCTCATAGACGAGCACCAAGACCCCACCACGTGTTACACTATTCATCCCAGCCTGAGGGTCTCACAGAACACAACAGCTACAGCAGCACTGCTTTACTGGCAAAGATTTACGGAGAACAACTGCACATTTGGATAACTGCCAAGGCAAGAACAGAATCTGAGAGGGGAACCACTGATGTGCCAAAGCAAACCCCCCAGCCTTGGGGGAATTGGCTCATCACAGGCTCAGCTTGAGGTTTGGGACTGGTCTCACTCAGACCTTCAGGACTAAGGAGCTAAAGGAATTCAGAAGAGATTTTTGACTTTGAACCTTTCCCATTCCAGCCACACTCCTGACAGGATTCCTGCTGGCAGAGCTTTTGTCTCAGCACAAAAGCAGAGGTGCCAATGTCCCCCTGCCCAGGCTGCACCCACGTCTCCAGGAACAGCAGGAGAGCAAACTTTGTCCTTTAGCTTTGATTTGCTCTGGTCCACGAGGGGCATCCCTGGACAGTTCCTGCAACAGCCTTCTCAAAAGACTTCTTTGGAGTTTTCTCATCCCCTGACAACAGAGTAGGTTCAAGAGACACCCAGCCTTTTAATATTTTAATACATTAATAAAGAAAAAAGCCTCCTGCCTCCTTGTTACCATGCAAAGCTCTGAAATGAGGACAGAGATAATTTTTCAGATACTCTTTATCATCTCCTCCCTTTTTCATGTTGTTAATTTTTCTATTCCTTTTATTTCAGAGAGAGGCAGAGATAAGATAGGTGCAGGGGGAGGGAAGGAAGGTGGCCTCAGGGGCCAGGAATGCAGCTCAATCCCCGGTAAATCTCCACTTCTCCATGACTTTCTGCCCGAGCTGTGATGTATCACTGCTCAGAGCCAGGGGGCCTGGAGGGGCTGATGGTCCAGAGCCTGGTGCTGGAGCAGGAGAGCTGTGGGCAGGGACAAGTGGGCAACAGGGATCCAGCTGGGAATATCCTGGGGCCACGTACAGATGTTACAGCCCTATTTTTCAAAGACTGAGACCACGTGCTGTTTGTTCTCAGCCATTTTCAGACTCTCTGGCAGCACTAGCAGGACAGAGACTTTGGAACCTACTCAGTCTGAAAAGTTTGCCTCTTTTCCTCTTAGCCAGTCACTCTCAGCCCAGTACCCAGCAGTTTGTGCTGGTTTTGCAGGTTGTTCCTCCTGTCAGCAGAGTCCACCTTCCATATGAACAATCTGAGGATGAGCACCCCAACCACTCCCCAAGGTCCCCAGATGTCACAGAACCAGGGAATGGTTTGGGTTGAGAGGGACATCAAAGCTCATCCAGTTCCACCTCCTGCCATGGACAGGGACACTTTCCCTCAGGTGTCCAAGGTTGTCCTTGGAGCCCAGGTTGCTCCAAGCCCCGTCCAACCTGGCCTTGGACACTTCCAGGGATCCAGGGGCAGCCACAGTGTCTCTGGGCAACCTGTGCCAGGGCCTCCCCACCCTCACAGCCAAGAATTTCTTCCCAATATCCCATCTATCCCTGCTCTCTGGCAGTTTGAGGCCCTTCCTCTTGTCCTGTCACTCCAGGCTCTAGGAAACAGTCTCTCTCCATCTCTCCTGTTGGTCCCCTCAGGTCCTGGAAGGTCACAATTAGGTCACCCCAAAGCTTCTCTTCTCCAGACTGCACAATCCCAGCTCTCCCAGCCTTTCCTCCCAGCAGAGCTGCTCCAGCCCTCTGATCCTCTTGGTGCCTCCTCTGGACTCTCTCCAGCAGCTCCATGTCCTCCCTGTGCTGCTCCCAGGGCTGGAGCAGCTCTGCAGGGGGGTCTCAGCAGAATCCCCCTGTTCTGCCTCCAAAGCCCCTGTCCAGGAGCTGCCTGGCCAGGACAGCCTGGCACAGGCTGTGCCAGCCCAGGAATGTGCTGAAGAGCCCCAGAGGAGCTCACACATGGTAGGCAGGAGCTGCTGAGACTCCTGACAATGTTATTCCTGTCTAACAGAAAAAGCTTCCCACTCCCTTCCCATGTGGATTTTTTCTGGTCAAGGTCAGCCAAGTGCTCCCTGTAAACTCCTCAAAACACATAGAAAGTGTTTCTCTAGGTTTGGGAGGGTTAACAGAGGACAGATTTATTCTTACAGTTGCAAGGTGGTAGCAAAACCCTTTACATTTGGAGGCATCCACTCAGCAATTGGCTGGGAAGAAAAAAAGAAACAAGGATTTTCTAATTCCATGGGAAAGATCAGGGGCTCTTTCTCTCTTCTTGCTCCCTTGCTCTTGCAAGCTCTGGCTGTTGCATTCCTGGAAAAGGGTGGCAGACCTTTGCCTCTGAGTCCCTGGAATTTATTTGTGCTCCATGAGATGGTTTTCCTGCTCCTGGGAAGCAGAGATGTTTTGTGGCTGCAATGCCCAATTTGATTTCATTTTCTCTATCATTTTCTAAAATGTGCTGCATTTTTTCTTTCCAGTAAGCCAATTTTTGCTCATATACCAACAATTTCTGTGCTCTCAGGACCAGACACTCTGGCAACTGGCACTCCAGAAGTGCCATAAATTCCCTATTTTAAACAAGGATCAAAGAACCACACAAATAAGTGCTTTTACCTCCAGCTGAAATCAGCTGTCTTTTATATGTCCCTTTGGAGAAGCTGTTTAAAACAGAGATCAAGAAGGGGAAGTATATTAAAAAAAGCAAACATTTACTGGCAGATTGAAGATTGTTCATCAGCCATTTGCTCTCTGAACCTTGCTCTTCCCCTGCTTATAGAACATTGTAGTTAAATTAAAACAACCCTGTGATAACAAGCCATTAGCATTTGAACAGGAGGGAGGTTTTCCCAGGAGAAACTTGAATTTGCAGACTTCAAGGAGCAGGACTTTTCCTGTTTCATGGAGAAATTACAGGATGCTACTTTTGCTTTCTGTGGTTTTTTCTTCCTGCTCACTTGTGCTCGTTTCTCTGGCCTTCACAAAATGCTGGATTTCAGAGGTGCCTCGGGGGCTGTGGGTGGGTCAAACCCGGGTGTTGTTCAAACAGGCTTTGCCACAATCCCTTCTTGCCTGGGGAGTTTCCCATTGGAAGTGAAGCTCTCCTGGACCTTCCCCAGATTCCCATGTCCAGCAGCTCCAGCAGAGCTGCAGAAGCTCAGGCAGAGCAGTGGGAGCACAGACTGACCAAAAACATCCCCAGTTTGTTCTCTGGTCTGTTCTTCTTCTTTCTGTTCCCACCCCTGTGCCCTCACCAAGCTGCTGAGAGTCTTTCTGGAGCTGGAGGGAGGGATGGGCTCTGCCAAAAACAGGGTTCAGCCACAAGCTGAGCTGAGCTGAGGGAGGTGTCTGGCTCATGGGATGGGAAGGAGCCCCTGGAACATATCCAAGATGTTCCCTCATAGGCTGAAGCTCAGTGTCAACCTCTGCCCTATGGTGAGAGAGCTAAAAACTGCCCAGTTCCTTGAAAAACACATGTACATGGAGTGATATTCATTTTATTTCAGACTTCAGGGATTTTTCATGGAATCACAGAATGGTTTGGGTTGGAAGGGAACTTAAAGACCACCCAGTCCCACCCCCCACCATGGGCAGGGACACCTTCCACCAGCCCAGGTTGCTCCAAGCCCCGTCCAGCCTGGCCTTGGACACTTCCAGGGATGGGGCAGCCACAGCTTCTCTGGGCAACCTGTGCCAGGGCCTCCCCACCCTCACAGGGAGGGATTTCTCCCCAGTATCCCACCTAACCCTGCCCTCTGGCAGAGGGAAGCCATTCCCCCTTGTCCTGTCACTCCAAGCCCTTGGAGCCCTCTCCATTTTTCCTGTAGGTCCCACTGAAAGGCCACAATCAGGTCACCCCAAAGCTTCTCTCCTCCAGGCTGAACAATCCCAGCTCTCCCAGCCTTTCCTCCCAGCAGAGCTGCTCCATCCCTCTGATCCTCTTGGTGCCTCCTCTGGACTCTCTCCACCAGCTCCATGTCCTCTCTGTGCTGTTCCCCAGGGCTGGAGCAGCTCTGCAGGGGGGTCTTACCTGAGGGGCAGAATTCCCCCCTGCCCTCTGCCCACGCTGTGGGATCAGCCCAGGGCATGGAGGGTTTCTGGGCTGGGTCATGTCCAGCCTGTCCCCCACCAGCCCCCCCAGGTCCTTCTCCCAGGGCTGCTCCATCTGCTCATCCCCAACCAGTGGAAGAGGCTTTTCCGTCACTTTTGCTCCCTGTTCTGGCTCACTCTGGGATCCATGTGCTGTAATTCCTGTAAGCCCTTGGACTCAGCACACACTGCCAGGCTGTGCCTTTCAAAGGAAGGAGCAGGACTCGAGCAAAGCTTTGTGTTCCTGAAGCAAAGCAAGATGGGCACTTACACAACTTAAAACTTCCAGCAGAAACAGGAACATGTTGAAATTTGCCTCCTTTCCCCCCTCTCCCTTGGTTGTGAGGGCACAGCAAAGGCAGAGAGCTCAGGAGAGGCCTGCCCACAACAAAGGCAAATTCTTGAGGGCATCCAGAGGGAACATTTCATCACAATAACATCCTGCATAACACACATATGGAACAACCTCAGCCACAAACAGCAATTACAAACCCAGCTCTGATTTAACAGAATTATTAGAGCTGAACTAAAATGCTGTTATCCACCTCTTGGAAATGTTATTGCTGAGCACAGATTACATCACCCCAGAAGGGCAGACAGGGACTGGCCTGGACAGGCTTTTGCAAGACACACAGTGATCTGACCTCATCCTTGTCACAAATCTCCTTGGGAGAACAAAACTGCACCCAGGGAGGAGTCCCCACATCCAAACTCCTCAGCACAAACATTACTGTCAGACAGATCTCTGTGGGAAAAGAAAAAATCCCCTTGTTTTGTGGGGTGAGGGGAGGATCCACAGGCTCCCTGTGCCTGATGCTGCTCATTTCTGCTGGAGTGATTCTTCTGGAGCTGTTTGACACATAACAGAGCTG